ACGGCGCCTTTATGAGGGCGGCACGGCGGTGTTACCACGCCGCAGCGCCACCGTTGTATAGAGGCCACACTTCTTCGTCCTTGCAGTTTGATTTTATAGAGACCACACATATGGCTGGCAGCACAAACCGAAAATTTGCACATATGGCTGGCAGCACGCACCGAAAATTTGCATCTGTACTCTGTATCTGTGATTACTTTTTGGATAGCTGCATATTCGCACGATGATGCCATTCAGGTGCTGCTTACCGAGGTGCTGCTTAAGAACGCTACAGAAAAGGTGTTTTTTTGGCATGCCAAGTGTTCAGGGAAAGTTGGAGAACTTGAAGTGAGCCATAATGTGGCAAGAAACGCAAGACTTCAGCACAACTTCAAGGTGCAACGCATGCGAAGCATTTTGATTCATCAGGCATCATCTACGATTTCACAATAAACAGCGGCAGCGTATCCTTGCCGAGAGAGAAGCTCAAGCATAACATTATTTTCAAGCATAACACCATTCGGACGTCATAACTACGGACAGTTTGAATTTCACTGTAACAACCTCAACAGTTATCATGTGCAAGGAGGAGTTTCGAGCCGAGATAAATGGGCTATTAGCTACTTAATACAAGATAATGAAAAAAAAAAAACATGAAAGTTCTGGGTCCACATTCCTGATGCCTTTTGAACTCCACACAATAACAGCACTGAGTGAAGACGAAAGTTTTACATCTTGATCATAAGCATTTGCACAGTTTCATTTTCTTCAAAGAAAGATTGCAGTTACACTCCCATGAAGCACCCTGGTTTGCCAAAGAAGTCCAGCACAGAATGTGATTGCTCATCAGCTCTTGTCACCCTGCTCGTATGAGATGGAAATGAAGTGGAATACAGAGCCAAGGAGACATAATAATTGTCCACGATGTTTTTAGTGGAGTTATCGACAACAAAAATTTGGGTTAGAAAACTGTGTCGCACCATTTGACCAACCCACACAAATATTAGCAAACTTCTCAAGGCCTGTAAATGACAACAGTTGACATCATGATAGTGTTTCATTTATGTTACCATCTGCCGATCTATCCGTTTCATACAGCTAAATTACCAACAAATGCAAGCTCCTGCACCTCTGTTTCATAAAAATAGTGTGTCATCACTTCTGGAATGACATTTATGCCTTTGGAAGTTCAGAAAATAACAGTTCTCGACCTTGAGCTGAGATTATCAATACTTAATATTAACGCCACTGATATGTTATTCTCTGTACAAAGCATTCCAGTCACGTCCTAAAGGCCTGTTGAGCCAACCAAAGAACAATTTCGCAGTAACGAAAAGGCCTATGTGCATCCTCTGCTGGCACACAGAGCTGCCAGATGATTTTGAGATTGTTTATTTTTTGTATTCACTTTGCCTTCATTATGAATACATTCTCTAAGCTCCAAGCTTAATTCATATAATTGCTATGACAAAAGAGAATGTAAATATTGTCTATAGTGAGCGGGTCTTTTGGCTGCAATGTACCAGCAAAGAAAAAAATACAAGCGTCGCCTCAAGGCGGTTGCTCTGCTAGGTGGCCTTTATTTTACTGTGATGCCCCAAACGACTGTCGCTGGCTCTATATTAAACAGAGACAGCAGTTTCATGATCAGAAAACCTATTGAGGGACTGTGTTAATACACACCTATTCATTCATTTCGAATACCTCAAAATTTCCAATACAGTATACCCGCGATGATTCAAACTCTGATAATTTATACTTTTGGCTAATTCAAACAAAATTCAATTTTTTTGGTTGGCCCTCTATTCTTTCAATGTATTTTTTAAAAGCCTCTTAATTCAAACTCCATCATTTAATTAATTCATAGCAGGAAATATCAGCTGCTTTCCCACTACTATTTAAAATGTGCATGCTTATACAATCCTAACAGTCTAAAAATAAACGATAAGCACTTGAGGCCTTCAAGGAAAAAGACTTAGGAAGTAAACAAACGTTTGAAATGAAGCACATGAATGGTAAATCGTGGTGCTTCTCAACTGGTACAGAGGGCTTTGTACAGAAAGCACGTACCTATAGCAATAAAGCAGTTGGCATATCACGATTTCTTTAAAACGTTTGATCAGCAGTAAATGGCCAATAAACATGTGGACTTTAAACCTCTGCTTTCTGTTCAGTGCGTTCAGTTAGAGCTTAAAAACAGTTACAAAATTTTTAAATGTGATAAAATTTATGCCTAATCGTAATGTGTGATGTGACCTCAGCCAGAGTCATCTATCTGAGAACTTCTGATAATTCAAACAAAATTCAGAGCTTCCTTTGAGTTTGAATTATTGAGAGTGCATTAAACCCCACATATCAATCAATCAATTATTGAGAGTCTACTGTAATTTGAATTCAAACCAAAACAAATTTGAATACATTATTATTCGATCGAAAATATTCAAGGTGCTCATATATTCATACAAGGCTAGCCCTGATACAGTGAAATCTCGATACAACGAATTTGAAGGAACCGCGGAAAATAGTTCGTTATTTTGAAATATCGTTATAGTGAAAACATCGAAAATTCGCATTAAAAATCGTAAATGCAACAAAAGGAGTCGCCTACCTTTGCTGTGTACACATCCGCAAACGCTTGATTTTATGACGAGCGTGAAAAAAAACAAAACGCGAAGTATTCCGGAATGAGCGCACGTTTATTTGAAAAAGTCGGTGATCTTGGCCTGGCGGGTGCCGCTCAACTGCCGCAGGACGAACGCTTCGAAGTTGTCCACATTCTTATGCTCTGCTTTGGTGGCATTGCTGCACCTGCCAAGGTAAGTGCGCATCTTTCGCACGCATTCCATGATGTCGGCGTTGGAAAGCGATTCTTCTGGTTGGCTAACGGGCGCGGTCTCAGCGTCGTCTTCGCCATTGGCGTCCTCGTCGCTATTATCACCACGAACAGCACTGACGATGTCATCGGTCGTCAGTTCGGCTGACGTGCATGCTTCGTCGTCGCACTGCACATAGTCCTCGAACGTCACCGAGGCATCCATCGCGAGTCTTTCGACGACTTCTTGCCACATGCCACTCGCGTCGCTTTCTTCGCTGCCTTGTTCAGATTCAGATGGCATTACTACCAAGCCTGCCTTCCTCCAGCAGTTCTGGATGGTGGTTGATGTAACGCTCCACCAGGCCCCGGTAACCATTTCTGTGGCCTGTCGCACATTGATGGAGGTAGGCAGCTTCATCCGAAGATTTATCAGCAATCGCTGAACCAGGCGTGTCCGGTAATGGGCCTTGACACTTTTTATGATGCCTTGGTCCAGTGGCTGGAGCAAGGACGTACAGTTCGGAGGCAAGAATTCCAGCTGTACATTTGTCAGCCTGACATTAACAAGATGCGCCGAGCAGTTGTCGGCGATAATCAGGATTTTCCTACCCGCGCTCCTCATCTCATCGTCCACCTTTAGTAGCCACTCAGAGAATAACTCTCGTGTCATCATCGCGCGTGAATTAGCCCGATAATCGCACGGCAATGAAACAACGTTCCTCATGCAGCGAGGCTTCTTGTATTTGCCGATCACCAAGGGCTTCAGCTTCTTGGTGCCTGTGGAATTGCAGCATAACAATACCGTAATCCGGACTTTGGACTGCTTGTCGCCTTTGCAGCTGTTCCCTTTAAAATGCATGGTTTTATCAGGAAGCATTTGATAGAAGAACGCCATTTCGTCCGCATTGAATATATCATCTTCGGAGTATGAAGCGACGATTTCGCGGAACTTCTCGTCCCTCCATGCAGCAGCGCTTGCTGCGTCTGCCGCCTTCTCTTCACCAGACACCACTTGCCAGGTGATTCCATTCCTTTCACGGAAACGATGAAGCCACCCCGCGCTTGCTTCGAAGCCTGTGATGTCTAAAGCATCAGCGAATTGCCGGGCTTTTTCCTGCAGCATGGGTCCCGACACCGGCACATTTTGAGAACGCGCGTCCTTGAACCAAGTCAGTACTGCAGCATCCACTTCTTGGAAATTCCCAAGTCGGAGCCGTTTTCTTGACGGTGCGAGTTGGGACTCTCGGTGCAGCTCGGGGATCTTTTGTCGGTCCTTCAGGATGGTTGCGACAGTTGATGGTGCAACCCCCATCTCGTTCGCAATGTGGATTTGTTTTTTACCGGCGTCCACTTGAGAAAGAATATCCACTTTTGCTTTCAAAGAAAACTGCCTACGTTTCTTTTTCGCGCTGCTTCCGGAGCTCATCGCGAACGCAGAAACGAATCACTCTAACCTTTAAAACGAGAAAGCCTTACGACAATCGTGCGACGTTGCCGGTCGACGTAACAAAACAAAGGCGGCGAGGTTAGGCTCAACCTGGCTCAACGAGCTTGCAAAAAAAAAAAAAACATCGAAAACAAGGTACTGGCGATGGCGATAGGGCTAGCCAGGCTAGTGCGCATTTAGCATAAGGCAACGCATGGAGAAATGAGCAGGAGCTCTGATGATGATGATAGTGCCACATATGGCGCTGGGCATTTAGACCGCCGCACGTAATTTTTACGCTAGAAATTCGTTATTTTGAAGTGCTCTTAAGGTACCAGGGTGATAAAATTTGATACATTATTCTAAAACATTCGTTATTCTGAAATTCGTAGTAGTGAAATATTTTTACATTGAACCAATGGACATTTGGAAGGGGATTTCCGAAATATTTGTTAATCTGAAAAAATCGTTAATCTGAGGTTCGTTATAACGGGATTTCACTGTAATTTGCAGAACCCTCACATACCTTTTGTGAAACCCAAGTTTGAGAATCCCTACAATACCGTGTACACAATGTATTTAGTGTTCAAAATGTGAGAGGCGGTTCAGGTACTTCTATTCTGGTCTACATCAAGCACTGCAATAAGCACTTCTGTTATAACCTATGGATTCCTTTTACCCCCTAAACTGTATTTTTTTGAATTTCTTATCTACCCCGTTAATGCTTGTGAAAAAAGATCTGACGCGGGAATGAAGGAGGGTGCACAAAGCATAAATTACCCTGTCTTTGAGGGCCTTGACAAGGGCATTGTACTCGTGATCCTTCTCGTGCAGCTGGTGCAGGTGGTACTCTTCACGCTGGCGAGCCTCATGGGCACGCTGCTGCAGATCTCGTAGCAAGCGCTTGGCACGAGCATACTTGGCCTCAAGGGCAACCAAACGCTCGCGCAAATCATGAGCTGCTTGGCGCTGCTGGGCAGCTTCCAACCGCAGCGCCTGGCCCGCTGCTTCAGCCTCTTGCAGCCGTCCCTGGGCCCCCTCAAGCAGACGGCCCAGATCTCGCCGCTCACCTTCAGCCAATGACAGTCGCTCACGCACAGACCGTGCCTCTGCCTCAGCCACTGCCAGACGGTATCTGCATTTGTCCATCATTAGATCATTATTTTTAACCAGAGAAAATGCAAGAATAAACAGGGCACAGAGTCATCATTTCCATGAGTCTCTAATGTGGTTGCTTCTACGAGATATGCTTTCATTGTTCAGTCCTGCTTAAAAAAATTTTATTCTTCGTTTCCTCTTTGATTTTTTTATTTGCTTCATAAGAATACGAACAGATTGTGCAAGAACCAGAGAAATATTTTGGGTTCAGTTCGTTGGTACTTAGTGTTTAACAGCTTGTAAACTTCACCACAAAAAAAAAATTTACACAATCTTGAACAGAGGTCACACACTTTTTTAAACCTGCTATGAAACAGTACACTTCATATCACACCTTTGCGAGAGAAAAAAAATGTCCAAAGGCACTGACTGTGTTTCCTTGAACCGCAGCCGTAAGTTGTCTGGGTCGGCGTCAGGCGAGAGGGAATCGCTGCTGTCGTTTGAAAGCTCGAAGCTGGCACCAGGAGCCAATTCATCCACTTCGTCGTCAGGAGTCGAAGCAAGGGAGTCCAGCCCACTACCAGGCACCACTTCTTGGGCCACACCTTTGAGCCGAGCCTCCCGTTCCCTGTCTGCCTGAATCGACTGGTAGATGAGCTGCGCTATCTCACTGTTTGTCGAGTCCCGTTCACGCCCAATCAAGAACCTACACAGCAAAAAGAGCAGCCGGCATTTAAATGGTGCAGCAAGACAAACAATAATACAGCAAGCTTGCAAAGATGAAATTTGTTATTCTAGTTATACCGAAAGAAGTCCTCAATTTCTGTCATTAGGGTGCTGAGTGCAACTCAGAGTAAAAGTAAACAAAGGTAGGGGTAGAAGGGAGGACGAGACATTATGAGCTCCTTCCTCCCTTACACCCCTGCCTTTGTTTTCTTTGTTAGAGTGGTGCTCAAGACTCATAATGTTATGGTATACCAACACACTTAAACTACTCTTCTAAACTTTTGAATAATAAACTGAGCATACAGAGCTCGGGCACTAAAGAAAGAATGAGTCAACTTGCCCTGCCTACACAACTAATAAAGGTGGGACACTTCACTTAATTGTTTCAAACATGATCCATATCACTATGAAGAAAACTAAAAAGTACAGAAGGAAGTGAACAGCCAAAACAGATGAACATGCATGGTAAAAATACAAGCTCATCACATTGGTAAATTAAATGCAGCATACTAGTGAGCATGTTGTTTTCAGCCTGACACTAAGTTCTCGCTTAGTGCATAAAAAAGCAAATAATACTAAAAAATATACCATTTAGCAGCTTTCAACATTACGAATGATCTTCCCTCCTCTATACCCTTAATTATTACAAGAAGAATCTGGAAACAACAGCCACTGACCTCAAGGCATGCCAGGTATGACAACGCTAGCTCATATTGCTTATTCTCCATCATCCTTCGCTGTATATTCTTAGGCAAAAAAAAAAAAAAAAAACAAGGTCTTCAGGCTTGAAGTATGCATAAAACAGCTAGCTACCTGAGGGCATTGCTTGAAGGAAAAGTTTGCAGTGTTCCTACATTCATTCAGCTTCAGTTAATTTATTTACTTTCATATAAAACATACGTGCTTACATAAGTATATAGAAAGAGGTCCCAGAGCACTTGGCCGAAACGGGACCTCCTGTCAGAAAATGTGTTAAATGTGTACAAGTAAAATGCAACTCTGTCAACGAAGTGGAATAAGTTATACAAATAAATGTATTACAGACTAAAGATAGTGAAATTTTAACAATCATAAGTACAATAAAAACACTGCTTAGAAAATTTAAAAATAGACCAGAAACCCCCAAAATATTGACTAAATGAACAAAGGAACGATAAAAGCAAGAAAAATATGAGTAGCTGTGGCTCAATTAAGAGTACATGAATATAAACAGGTGCTGATAATATTACACATCTTAAAATTCTAAGGTATCCAGAAGAAATGTGAATACTAGGTTTTTAAAAAGATCTAAAGATAAAGACTGCTTAACGTTAAGAGGAAGACTGTTCCAGGTCGATAACGACGTGAAACAACCGGAGTGCTTTCCATAGTTAGTATGGACGAATGGCAGTAATGAATTGTTGTTAGCTGCCATTCTTTTTCGGTTGGTGTTGACTAGCAGAGCTTCTGGAAATATATTCACTGCACGAGTGTTCTTCAATTTTTTAAATAACACTATGCATAAATTGCATTTAACAAGGCTCTCTAGTGAAAGGATTCTGTTATTATGAAGTATGTCAGACACACAGCAGCTGAATGAGTTGAATGTTAGTATACGGATGTCCTGATTTTGTAAATATTGTAACGGTGCTATATGTGTTGGACATGTGGTACCCCACGACATGATGCAGTAGTTCAGGTGACTGTGAATGAAACAATAATGCAGGGTTATAGTCTAGGTTTGCTGAAATAGTGCCTGGCTTTTATTAAAATTGTAGTACCAGGAGCGATTTCGAGCTTCAAATGGGCTATGTGTTTCGTAAATTTAAAGTTTGCATCTACAGTAACATCAAGAAATAAACATTCATCAACTGCACTAAAGACATAAGAATCAAGATTGATAGTGGGAAGGATTTCTGGTGTTCTGTGACTGGTATGAAAAAGCATAAATGAAGTCATGGTGGGGTTTATTTTCAATAAATAAAGGCAGAACCATGATAAAATATTGTTCAAATCAGTATTCAACTTCGATGTGAGAGCAGTTAGTGATTGATCACTAGCAAGCAATGTTGTGTCATCTGCGTAAACAAAAGCTTCCGTTTGAGATAGGTGGTCACTGGTTAGGTAAATCATTTATGCAAAGTAAGAATAGTAGTGGGCCAAATATCGATCCCCGTGGAACCCCCTGTTCAATATTTTGAAGTTAAAAAGCGAGGAACCAACACACACAGCCTGCTGTCTGTCTGTTAAATGATGGCCAGTAAACAGGCTCTGACTTTTTTTTTTACACCCCCCCCCCCCCCCACACACAAGCTCGCCAATTTGTACAGTAGACTGCGGCAACCACATTTCCCAAATATTACAGCACTGCACGTCTCGCAGACGCTCCATTTCGAAAAACAATCTAGTGCCTGTTTCCTTCGCCTGACCAACCCCTTTGTAAGTGCAGTCTGACGAAAGCTTGCCCATGGGCAATGTTACGCACCACTGAGGTCATCGATTGGTTCTTTGCCCTACGAAACAGCGCCTTGGCCCTGAGGCGATGTAGTTTCAGCCACGCAACCAGCCTTTTTATTTTTCCGCACTGCCCTCTACCGTTTTGTAGAAAGCAGCATTGCCAGAACGAAAGCCTCAAAAATAAAAAGGCATCTCACTACTTTACTGCGAGGGGAAAAGTGCTCCTCGCTTCACGTTTTCTGCCCACACCGCTATGACATGTGCTGATGTAAGGGAAGCCCCGCTCAGTCTTTCGTTGCGCACCACTGATGTATCACAGACGTCGTGTCCCGTTGCAAAAGTGGGCAGAGTAACAACGACGGGCTACTTCTTCCCCTCCCTATAGCAGAGAAGGGTGGCAAGCGACCGCGTGAAAATTCAAAACCGGCTGAAATGAATGTTAGAATCCCTGTCACTTCCTTATAATAGGATGCATTCACAAAATTCTTGCAGCAGCATAATCACATAGTGAAAGTGTGCATATTTCTTTTCATTAAAATTTTTGGACCTCAAGGTTGATTACTGGCCCTTTAAAACAAGAAGTGAGTGGAGTGGGGCTTTTATGCTCACTGCCTGTGGTAAATATTTCAATTATCAAATAAGCATGCTGCACACAAAAGTTGTGGTGTCAGCTCTCACTTTAACTCTTTCAGTAACCCTGACTACCAGTATGCTTCTGATATTGTGCCCCACCATACTAATGACATGTCTTCATGTTCTCTGATCCCTCCACTCGGGCATGTGCAATAGGGTGATTCCACGTATGATCAAACAGAACATGACTGGTCAACGTCATAGATTTTTTTCACAATTATATATATTGTTGTCTGATGAGAGGAAAGAAGAAATCCGCAATTGGTTTCGCTGTAAAAAATTTTTCAAAGCACATTAAATCAATAATGACGAAGAAGTGGAGTACCACGCTTACCTGCTCTGATGCCTTTTTTCGACTTTGGCATTGAATTACACAAAATGTATTAAAGCTACGTACCTCAAATTTGTTTAGTTAAATATAGGTGTACTTGTACTTACGTTCAATTATAATTTGATTCTCTGCATAGTGTAGATTTCTTTGTAAAACTTGTCAAATTTTACCTAAAAAACATTTTCTTGCCTACTTTGCAGGCCTTTATATAAAAAAAAAAGCCCATGACAGAGCGGTGAAAGTTCCGCATTACTTTCTCAGCATCCTTATTTATAAAACTGCCAAAGCTTATTATATTATTAACACTTTTTAATAAAAAGATATAATTGCACTAACTTCAAGACACGAGCATGCAAGAGAAACTTTTGATGACGATTAAAAAAAACATTTTTGATATTTTTAAAACTTTCCCCACTTATTGCCCTGCATATCAGCTTTCACAACAAATAAAACATGTTGCATAATGTGGTTTCACTTGCAGTTACGGCCCATCAAAAAGTGCTTTTGCTCAAGGACAGGCATTGTCGATTGGACTGATTGATTGATTGATATGTGGGGTTTAACGTCCCAAAACCACTATATGATTATGAGAGACGCCGTAGTGGAGGGCTCCGGAAATTTAGACCACCTGGGGTTCTTTAACGTGCACCCTTGTGGATTGGACTTCCTGCCCACTAATTATGAAAGCAGCACTGGCAAGTGCTGCTTCCATACAGGCAAGCAGCACTGAAATAGCTGTTGACTGCAGTGAGGACACCAATTATGAAATGATTTGGTCACGGGAGCGGCCATGACTGCTGGTTTAACTAGCAAGCAAGCGTGCACAGTCGGGCGTGTTCATGAGCAAAGAGGGCTCGTTCTCGTGTCCTCAGACGGATAGATTGCGCCGGGGGTAACTTCCACACATGGGCAATGAAGCATAGCTATTTTATCAGCCAATTTGCTCGCATAGCAGCCACGAGCTGTTAATATTGCAAACGTAGCAGACATTGTTTGTAGTTTTTGTGTGTTCAAAGTAAACGCAAACAAAAGCACGTCTACAATATGTACATACTTGTATATTTCAACAAAAGCGTCCCGAGGTCGCTAACATAACTTGGGCATGGCAGCATTCCAACGCATGTGCTTGGCTCGTAAACAGAGGCAATCTGCCAAGGTCACAGATTAGCTGCCTGTAGCTCAAGTTCCCCGATCACATTCGGCGCCTGCACAGGAAACACTTCGAGACGTTGACGTAGAAGTTGAAATCTGACTGCGTTCCCTCAGTGGGAAACGCCGTGAAAATTCTTGTCAGGAAGCTGCTAGCGCTTGCTTCCTGAACGCGGGTGATAGCCACTTTAGCCAGAGAAACTGCGCTGCACGAATCAATCTCAGTGAAAACCATAAAGATGGTGCTCTAGGAGCCAAATCAATAGGGAACAAATGCCAAACTATAGACAACCGGATGCACCTGCCCATCTCAGATGATGGCAGCAGACGACTTGTACTGGCCATGCGCACGGTCCGCTGCTCACACTTCATTTGAATTCGACAGGGCTCGCGCTTTGTTCTGCTGTTGTGCGTTTCATGGCATTTCATTCACTACCATGTTTATCACTGCTACTTTGTAATGGCAAGACATAATTAATTACTCGAAACAATACTATGCAAAATTGAAATGGTGTACGCGATCACAAATTTCATACAATCTTTGGACCCACAAGCTCACGTTGTGCTCAGTCTTGCGCAAAGGCCTTATTCGACGGACCCTCTTCACACCGGTACATGGATTGTGCAGGCTTGCTTGCTCGACAATCCCACACTCATGGCCATTCCCGTGACGAAATCATTTTGAAATCGGCGTCCACAGTGAAGTCGACAGCTATTTCACTACTGCTTGCCTTTTAGGAAACTCAAGTATAGGCCTGCATTCCATAATTAGCAGGCAGCAAGTACGATCTACAATTGCCTATCCTTGCGCAAAAGCATTTTTTGATGTCCCGAAGCTGCAAGTAAAACCACATTATGCAACATGTTATTATTGATTGTCAAAGCTGATGTGAAGGAGAATAAGAGGGGAAGTATTAAAAAAATAACAAAAATGCTTTTTTTATTGTCGTCACAAGTTCCTTTGATATTTCTAAAAGGCGTGTTTACACTAGAGAGACAAGACACCGATTTTGGTCTGCGGGCTGTCTTTAGAAGTGTCTTTTCTCTTGTTGTTGGCCTAAGTACACTGCAAAGACACAAACAGTCCGCGGGTGGTCTCGTGAAGACCCCGCCCACGTTTTGTCGTGCTCACAGTCTTTGGTTGGCCAATTCTGCAGTCAGATTGGAGGCACACGCAGCGACACCGACTAAACTTGCACACCTGCATCTCATTTTCAGCCATGCTCCCCGCTCTGTCAATGTCCCTCTCAGGCTATGGCACAGCCCCCTCCATAATCCACGGTATTGAGGGACGGAGGTGGTGCACACAATAAGGAAGCGAAGAAAAGACTTCGTTGGGTGCTCGAGCTGCCTATTCAGACGCCGCGGAAGCCTCTGAGAGGGCGTCATTAACTCCTCTAAGATTGCCGGCTTCGTGGTCGTTTAAAGCAAAGACATGGAGAGAATTTTCGCACAGCCGCCGATCTCCCGACGACACGCCCACGAAAGGTCTGCGGATGCACTTTGCTGGGGTTTTCGGTATCTCATCATGTTACACTACGATGAAATGCTGTCTTTAGAGGAGGCGGCGGCGGCCTAGTGTGACCATCTGGTATGGCTTCTTCGTCGGCGGGCGACTCGTCGGCTGATGGTTTGCGTCTGCCTCGTGTTTTCGTCGGGCTCATGTCAGCGTGGTGTCAGTCTAGTGTAAACGCCCCTTAAATAAGCACTCCGAGAAATGAACGTGAAATTTTTACCGCTCTGTCATAGGTCCTTTTTAAAATAAAGGCCTGCAAACTAGCCCAAAAAAACCTTCTTTAGGTCAAATTTGAGAACCTTTATTGAAAAATCTACACTGCACAGAGAATCAAAATATAATTGAACGTAAGTGCAAATACATCTATACTCAGCTAAACAAGTTTGAGGAACACAGCTTTAATATATTTTGTCTAATTCACAATCAAATTTTTAAAAAAGCAGCAGAGCAGGTAAGCGTGGCAGTCTACCTCTTCATCATTATTGATGTATTGGGCTACGAAAAATTTTTTTTCCAGCAAAATCAATAGCAGATCTCTTCTTTCTACTCATCAGGCACAATATATATAATTTTGAAAAATTGAAGAGGTCAACCAACCATGCTTTGTTCGATCTTACATGGAAACCAAAAACAAAAATTGGTAGACTTCAAAGTGATTCTGCCACTGATTGTATATGCCTGGAAGCCAGAGTACTAAACCAAGATTGAAGCAGAACATTCCATAATTTTTGCTCTGAAGTGAAATGAAAACGGAAGAAAACATCTGTGTTATCCTCGAGCTATTTTTGTCCATGCATTTCATAAGATATTCGTGCATTTGCAATGTCAGGAGAAAATTATGCAACAAGATATGTGGGCTTTAAAGTCTCAAAACCACCATATGATTATGAGAGACGCCGTAGTGGAGGGCTCCGGAAATTTCGACCACCTGGGGTTCTTTAACGTGCACCCAAATCTGAGCACACGGCCTACAACATTTCCGCCTCCATCGGAAATGCAGCCGCCGCAGCCGGGATTCGAACCCGCGACCTGCGGGTCAGCAGCCGAGTACCTTAGCCACTAGACCACCGCGGCGGGGCTAAAATTATGCAACAAGTGTACTGATAGATGATTGAACTTTGTGACCTTCAAATAGTTTCCCCACAAAAATTCGTACGGAAAATTATCTGACTCGCTCTCGGCTACAGTTAGCAAGATGCATTTGGTCACATTGTGATTGCATGTGTCAGCATATTTTTTTAACTCTGGCTAAAGATAGCTGGGGCACCCCGTACTTTTGAGTGCACATTCGAACTTTTCAGACATCTGATTGATTGATATGTGGGGTTTAACATCCCAAAACCACCATATGATTATGAGAGACGCAATAGTGGAAGGCTCCGGAAATTTCGACCACCTGGTGTTTTTTAACGTGCACCCAAATCTGACCACACGGGCCTTCAGCATTTTCGCCTCCAACGAAAATGCAGCTGCTACAGCCGGGATTCGATCCCATGACCTACGGGTCAGCAGCCAAGTACCTTATCCACTAGACCACTACGGCGGGGCACTTCTCAGACATCTAAAATACTTGGTGTGTTCACATGTTCTCGTGTTCAGATATCATTATATCTAAGATTTCAGAGTACTGAGAACAACAATAATATTAATAGGTCCTCTTTTCCCTCAAGATGATGACCAAGGCTGAGAAGAACTGGGAAGCAGCTCGACTAGCTTCTGCCTCCCCCCCTCCCCAAAAGTACACTTTAGTGAGTTTATAGCACTGCACATCACCAGCTTTATTAACAGGATAAATGAAAGAAAGTGAGAAAAAAATGAAAGGTTGAAAAAACGAGATTATCAGCAATAATACAACACATGTTAATTGCAAATGAAAGTAATAAGGCATTGCAACAACTTATAAAGCAAAATTGGGCATAAAATTTCGGAGTAGCGTAGATGTAGGAGAAATGAACTCCAATAAACACTTAATGTCCTCAAGAAAAAAGCACTTTGAAAAACACCCTCTGAATTTAAATAAATATAGACTCCGAAAACAAAGCCCTAATTCTACAACACACCATAGGACTTATGATTCAATTTTGGCATTACCAGACACAAGACTATAAATTACAGTGAAGTCACAGATAAACATTTTGCTGTCAGGAGTCCTCTAAGCTGAATTGCTCAGAAGCTGGCATTATAAAAATAGCGGAAAGTGGAGGTCTTCCATTTGTTTGTTTGTTTTTGTCGTTCTTTCAGATAGGTTGTAATGAAAATATCAAAGAAAACTCACCGAACAAGACCAGATGTATTTCGCAAAACTGAAGCAGCATAGGCTTGTGTGACACCAACCAGAGATTTTCCATCAACTTCTATTATTTGGTCATTGACACGTATTCTAGGAGAGAAGGAACAGTTTTGCATAAAGATGAGAAATACTACCATGCATGCACATGAGCACACGTACACACTTCACAGAGGAGTTATATATGGGTATCCATGAATGCAACTGTCCAAATGTACAGTAACTTATATAATACAGCCTTAAATATTAGATTGAATATAAAAAAGTGCTTGCATTTCTAAAATATGGAGAAGAAAATGAAAAAAAAAAAGTATTTTTTAACATTTTATAACACATACGATGTTCTCATTAATTTCATAAAAAATTAATGAGAACAACTTTTAAATCTTTGTCACAACAACAATAACAGGCTTTTGTAATAAAAAGGCTACAAGCATTGCAGGTATGTTAGTTTTCACTGAATTTCAAGGTAAAGAAAACCTACCTTTACTTTAGCTGAAACAATGCAACTTCGATAAGACTAACCAGAGCATAATTTAACTATTACTTTTATTAGAGCCTTAGAGGCAGTTCATAAGCAAGTTTAAAAGCAGTTACATTTTATTGCACACCCACTTCACTAAACTTATCAAAATCTTTATACAAAATAGTCATGTCATTCAGATAGCTGACAGGACTCTCCTGTAGATGCATTCTACTAAAAAACATCTCTTTATCTCCCGATGGCAACATATGCACCGTAGCGGCCATTAATGTGCCATTGTTTAATGAAAAAGTACAGCGAGTAATTTTCTGTCCCATGCAGGTTTTTTTATTCTCCCAGCATTAAGGTGGAGCTCTTACAGATAACATATCAAACCAATCCTTTTCCTTTCACAGCATAAAATGAGTTGCTCATTGTGCTTTGACCTCATGGTGCATTCAAGTGAGCTAAGAAGGCAGCAAATAAAAAATGGCAAGTTGTTGTTTACTGTTCTTTTCAGCCAGTAAAACTATACCAAGTTAACTCCTCCATTTCTGCAAACAAGCTCTGATGCAGTGTATAATGACAGCTCCATGAAAATGGCCTTTGCACTGATGCTGTAATTAATTATAAATCATTAAAAATCTGCGAAAGACATATGCAGTATTCTTAAACTGCTTAAAGGGACCCCGAAATGGTTCTGACGATGTTGTACAGATTAATTGGGCTGGTAGACCAAGTCCTAAGGGACATTTACAGACCAATTTTAGCTCTCTGCATAAACTGAGTAATTTATTACAATGCTTTAAAGTTTCAAATCACTGCAGACAGCTGCAACTCAGCCAAACATGTTTTCAACCTCCATTCACAGAATGTACGCTCTGTAAAGTGACATCAGCCTTGTTGCTGATCTCTTGGCTATGGAATGCACGTAAATAAAATGGGCGGGCAGAGTGGCGGCACTTGTCAAGGCAGGTATCGACCACATTGCGATCTTCGTCTCTGTTGCCAGACAGCATGCGCGCTGCCGGGCCAATGTGTGATGGCCTCCGAGATTGCACGAAACCGGTCGTCATGCAATCTAGGAGGCCTAGACTGGGCGAAGCTCAAATAGTCAAGTGTGCTCATGACAGCTCTGCAATCGCTCGTGATGCCAGTACGTCTCAAAAGTCGAGGAGGCAAGGCGGAGATGAGCAGGAGGGTATGATATAATTGTCTGTAGCAGCCTTGCCACACGGTGTGTTGCTACATTTGTGATGCAAATTGTTTGATGATGCTCTAGCCTAAACACCAAAAAAAATTATTTCAGGGTGTCTTAACATCTACAATGAAAGTTCAAGAAAGCAAAATCACAAAGTCAGTACAGCCGCTCAGAATGCGCTTCCCACAACAGCACCCAAGGTAGCCGGCCTAGAGTTTGATGCTAGCCACCTCTGATGGTGTATTAAAGAGCCAGAAGTGCATCATGTGAATTTCAATGAACATTTTCTCAAGCTACTGGGGCTAACAGAAGAGAGCACGGCACACAAATTTCAGATAATTTAGCCTGCAGAACATCACTAAAGTTGTCGTGGCTTCCCACAACACTCCCTGTGACAACCTAGAGAGAGAGAGAAATGACTCTTGTTACAAGCAAGACAAATAGCCATATCTGGTATTCTCCATCAAGGGGATTGTGGCCAGTTGCAGTAGTGGGAATGCCTTCCAGCATTTTGAGACTCCCTGTGACAACCCAGAGAGAGAGAGAAATGACTCTTGTTACAAGCAAGACAAATAGCCATATCTGGTATTCTTCATCAAGATGATTGTGGCTAGTTGCAGTAGTGGGAATGCCTTCCAGCATTTTGAGCAGCCATTGGAGAAGGCAAAATATGCGTTTGGAGCACGCATGACACACACAGAGGAAGAAAAATTAGCTTTATTTAGTTTATTGTTCCTTCAGTTGACAATCAATTATACAGAAACAGAAAGCCCACCAAATAAATACAAAAAATGAACAAAACTAGGATTACGTACAGAAGCGGTGACATAAGATAGTGAAGGACATTGTGCCAACAAGCTAGCTTCAGCATGGAGTTCATAGCAGTGTGTGTACACACACACACACACATTCAAAGCTAGTTACAGTAAAGCCTGGTTAATATGTACATACATGCCGAGAACCCGGCTAACTACGCACTTAACATAGTATGCATTAACCACCAAGTGCATAAGCGTGCGCAGGGCTGCCTTTTAGAAGGGGGGTGAAGGTTCCTCGCAGTGCCCCCCCTCTCTATAATGTCAAGGTATGGGGCTGACTTTGCACACCCCCTCTCGCCCCCCCCCCTTCTTTCTATTATGTCAATGTATGGGGCTGGCTTTGCCGCCCACAACACACCTATGACCAAGTGCCAATTGGCATTTCTTTTGTGTGCCATGATAAAGAAGGAATAAATACAGTGACACAGCAAATGTTGCCAAAAGTGCCCACTACGAAGCCATTTCTCTCTGTTTGCCAATGTTCAGAAATTATTGCCATTCTGACACGACCGTCTGATGCCATGTGGTGGCAACACCAAAGAGCATTTCGATTGATTGATTGATTTGTGGGGTTTAACGTCCCAGAACCACCATATGATTATGAGAGACGCCGTAGTGGAGGGCTCTGGAAATTTCGACCACCTGGGGTTCTTTAACGTGCACCCAAATCTGAGCACACGGGCCTACAACATTTCCGCCTCCATCGGAAATGCAGCCGCAGCAGCCGGGATTTGAACCCGCGACCTGCGGGTCAGCAGCCGAGTACCTTAGCCACTAGACCACCGCGGCAGGGCAAAAAGAGCATTTCGAAACTACTGCTAAGTCTGGGATACACAGCCAATGAAGCAACTGAAATGGCGACTGAACAAACCTAATCAGATGTTCGCGATAAATGTGTACTGCAATCTGCTACTTAAAGAAAACACACAGTTTTTTTTAGAATGCTGTACGGTCGGAGGGAGCCAATTGTCTACTTGGCTAGTTGCGCTTCGCCTGCTGGATATACACACTGTGCCGAGCCGCTTGGGCTCACTCTGCTTCAGACCATAAACAGATTAACGCGACAATGCGAACTTTCTGCAAATTATGCTCTAGCAGTCTTGGCAGCGGACGGAGGCACATTTGGGCTGTCACCTCATGAAAGAGTGTGCTACGCTTGCAGTCTCGGTGCCTGCAATCCACAACGCTCAACTCCACAACCGTGAGCTGGTTTCGTTTCTGCAAAATGGTGCACGCTGAACACAGTCCCGCACAACGACTGAGGAGGCAACAACCACCGCCTCAGTGCTCTCAGGTAGTCACCGACTATTAAAAGCGTACAGTAGGCTTAAGGGCACCAGGTAGGCCCTAGACATCCAAGGCATATTTTGGCCATTTTGAGGTGCCGTTTTCTGAGTGACCAAAAAGTAGTTCCGAAATGGTTTTTGGTGTTGCCACTGCATGGCATCAGAAAGGCGTGTGAGAATGCCAATCATTTGTGAACATTAGCAAAAAGAAAGAAATGGCTTTGCATAATTCATACATCATTTTCTTCCAAATTTCATGCTCTTTTAACTAAAGCAGATTTATTCAAAACAGCTTAATACTGAAATTTTTGTAAAATTTTTACCACTAGAGCCTAGTTTTTTTTAGTTGACTGGCATCTATGTAAATTTGTAAAGTGAATAATTTCAATTCTGCTTCTGTAGCTGTAAACATTTATGTAGAATACAAGAAATATATACAACTTGCTATCTTGGAATACTTAGGACATATTGGCACCTAAGTCATAAAGAACATGTTTTGAGATAACCGAGTTTGCAAATGGCTGAAAAGCGAACATATTTTGTAACAAACGCCACTCAACTAATTTACTTAGTAGCTACAAGCTTGGTGATCATTGCCAAAGTCAATTTTTTTTCACTTTGGAGTCTCTCGTAAAGCTTGCCTTGCTTCTTTTGTGAGCTATCATGCAGCTATATTCGCAATGTATCATTGAGTGTGGCCGATGTTTTGACTGTAGTTTGGCCAGGCTTCAATTTTAACTATTTCAGAATTTCGGCTCATGTGATACTACCATTATTAAACGCAAGAACATTATATATTATCACATAGGATTCTGAACCTAAAAAAAAAAAAAGACAACTAAGACTCTACGACGCCATTTCCATTAACTCATTACTTGCATCGGGCAGCTTGCATGTGCCTATTCAGTCTTATTCCATCACAAACAATAGTCATGTCTATATAGCATACCCCTTGACACCCTGCACGTGTTTCACATCAAAGGACACTCAAAAGGCTTAGAGGTTCCACTATCATGAGCTTGCCGGTTCAGCCTTCAGCGCCTCAGTATGTCACATTTAAGACATAGCTGTATGGGTCGCGCAAAATTTACACTTGTTGAAGACATTCTTTACCCTCAGCATCCCTTCGCATCTTAAAGGGGTACTGACACAAGATTTCGGGGCCGAGATAGCCTGCGGGGTCGATTTTCGTGAACATTCATATATTATCTGCAAGATATAAACAGCGAATATAGATTGAAAGGTGTTTTAAATTAATTTTAAGTTTGCGTGAGCGACCGACTCCGTAGCGCTATAGACACCCTCAGAGATGACTCTGAGGCGAC